AACTCATGAAATACATCGATTGATTAAGGTTTAATTCTGTCATATTGCATGCTGTTGGCAATTCTGGATATGGAGACAAATCTATTAACATTGGTGATTTTGTAGATATCACAACTAACCAAATGAGAACCTCAGTTATAATCAGAAATTTTCGTTTACGATTCCGATAAAATGGTGATAATGGTCTTACAATAGCAAAATAGCGATCTACAGCGACCAATGCTAAATTCATCATAGAAATAGCAAATGATGCGAATAAAATCGTTAAGCTGACACGACATAGATTAAAACCAGCGACGAAATCCAGTCTACCAAAAGTAATGATAGTAAACATGATTACAGCTGTAATTGCCGAGATAGTATCTGATATAACTGACATTCGGATCAATTGATAGGTTGCCTTTTAGAAATTTTTGTAAGCAAATAGTAGCTTGAGTATAAGTATATTTAATATTAATGCAGTAGTATGTGTCGGAATAAAACATGCTGCAGCATACCGATAAATCTGTCTAAAATGCTCTGGAAATATGCTGGTCCTATTGGAGATATTCATTCTGCCAATGAGGTAAACGATGGCTTAAAATAGCTTGTAATATTTGCTAAGTAGATACTTTCTGGTTTAGAATTAAATTTTCGAATGAAAATTAGAATTTATTCACCGAATAGAAGAGGAAAAGTATAACCAGCGTCTGAAATTATCTTGGAAAATGATACACGATATAAAGAGCTTTCACTGCTATTTATTACACCACAATACGCGTATTAATTAATCTACCGTGTGACTCAATACCATAAATAAATCACTTCAAATACTGCATGACGCATATATAGAGATTAGGCTATTCAATAGTGCCAAGAATGATCAAGAAGATAGAAGTACAGTAACAATCAATTATCTTTTATCGTAATTCAACGCAATTTTTTCCGAGTAAATAATTGAAATAACGTTTTTTGATTTATTTATTTATTCAGTAACCCAGATTGTAAAATAGTACTTAGAATTCGTTATATCGCATACTATTTCCACACTAAATAAGGTATGATAGCAGTTACATCTACAATATTATTTGGGTCCTAGGAGATCAGAAATTTTAAGAAGCAACTATGCAAAAATACAGCTGTTAATCTGATAATTAATCAATTCTACCTAGTATGAATTATTGCCGTTACACTTGGAATTCGTTAATTTTAATGAGTAATAGATATTTATCAACAGATGTTAATTTCATCTATATATTTACTATTTTCAAGGCTAAATTAGCTAAAATCAATTTCGAAAATAATAAAAACCTGATTTATTATAAGATATCATATAATACAACGACATAGCAGTGATGATGACCTAGAGCTGACTATGAAATTTCGGGCAACTACTCATATTCAGAAATAGCTTCTTCATATTCGCCTAGCTCGCCCGCCTTACGTAGCACCAATGTTACTATATGATTTCGCAACATCGGGATAGTTGTGAATAGCGATAATTGGATAATTGAATATTGGGGGACTTCTTAAGCATAGAAGTAGGCTTTGCATATTTCTATGGACAATAATAGACTAAAGAACTTGCAATGGAATTGCTTAATACTATTAACGATTAAATAATATTAAATAGTATGGCAACTATATTTTATTAAAAAATAATAATTGATCCGAGTCATCATTAAATAAGAAAATGAATTATTATCAAATAAAATTTTAAGACTACTCTGTATTACGTTCAAATTTATAGAAAAACCAATATTTGTAGAATTTTCCATTATTAGTAGTATACGTAAACCGTAAGTTACATAACAATTTAATTCTTACTTGGTTTGGCGAGAATACCTGTATGTGTTTGTATAATACAATTATGGTAGATAGGACAATTTCTTAATGAACTTTCTGTAATAGCCAACAGCTCAAAGTTACGAACGTATTTCTTTCTTTATTATACGATCTCGCTACACGGGGAAGATTGCAATTAAGAACCAATAATTGCATTTGGCTGATTTTTGATACCTGGATATTACCATTTTATACTTGCTCTGACGATAAAATGTAAGATCAAGATTGATGATCATACTGTACTGTTTTGCAACATCAGGATGAATATGGCCATTAATTGGCAATAGAATTTCTGAGCGATTTCTTATGCATAGAAACCTTTTCTACATGCATGCATCGGCCATAATAGACAGATCCTATATTGTTATCTATTGCAGCAATATTAGGATGATTATGGTCTAAAGCGTATCATTCAATTTTAAGGAATTTTTTATACGCAGCTATGGCCTGATTATGCTTGCTTCTATATTGACGGAGGCAATTATTTGTGAGACACTTTATTACAAAATCGTATACTCCGAACTGTTTCAAGAATCACGCTCTTAGATGTTAAATTGGACTTTACTGAAATTGCTAATTGTTATTTTGTAAACTTGACTAAGTTATTTTGGTTGTGATTGGATGTCTACTTTAGTTAGCAAATTGAAATGGTCGCAATTATAAACAATCAAGTCATACTACAACAGCTATTTCTACTTCCGCATATTTTACCTGAGCTATACGCGTATTACTTCTAAATTACAAAATTGAGTAGAAATTTAAAATTTAATCTAAATTACAAATGGAAGCCTTTCGTTATATTGTTTTTTTATGCCTTTTATTTCAATCGTTAAACAGCCAACAGTCTGCAATGCGAATTTAGTCTTTGATTAAACAAAATTCCTAAGACATAAAATCAACTTAATTACTGGAATAAAGGTTACACAGTTTTTTTTCTGCTTTTGGTAATTTTTAATGCCTATCTCATGTAGTAAATAGACAGAGAAGAGATTAATTTAATCAATTATAACTTGTTTTTACTTACTTTATTTTATCAATAAAGAAGAATAACGTATTGGTGACCCTGTATATGTTGCAGAGCATGAAAATGCTTAAGTTAAGTTTCAAGTTCATAACTTACGAATAAACAATAAAGCGTTTAGTCGAATTTGATTACACTCTCCTGTATTAAACAGGGCATAAACCCATTCTTAGCGGATTTCCATTGAAAATTATAATCTTTTAACGTTGGCTAACATTAAAATAGTTAAGGGCAACTAGTAATGATTTTATCAAGTGCAATCAATTCCGTATTATATGAACTACTACATGTAAACAGTGTATTACGAATTAGTGGTAAAATGAACAAATAAGTTAGATGTGCTACTTGCTGCAGTGGAATAATCTAGCTAATTTTGATAACATCCCAGCACGTACTCGCTTATCAAACGTCATATAAATAGTTGGGTTTATAACGGGTAACGATGCCGCGATAGCTATGGCAAGATAAGCCAATATAAACGTAGATGTGTTACCTACTGACATACTAACGACCGATTTCTGATATATTCCAGATACTGTGCAATTTAGAGCATGAGGCAAAATTATTATTATATAGCATAATGTTATATAAATCAAGACTTTAATAAATTTCCGTCTATTCCTAAAGTCGTTATCGAGCTGTTCGGATGTCCGAATACCAGGTCGAACATAGTTCTTTTGAAACGATATAATCTTTGCATAAGAAAAGATAATGGTTACGATAGGAATGGCATATGCTATAATTACCCAAAGTATCAGGTATATGGATTGATCAAGGTCCATGTGTGGAAAATCACATGATGTAGGCAAGCCAGGGATCGGAGCAAGATAAAGTATGAAAGGAGATGTGGCAGATATTGATATAAGCCAAACAAGAAATTCCGTAATAATCAGAAATTTTATTTTATGATTTCGATAAAATGGCGAGAATGGTCTTACGATAGAAAAATAGCGATCTACGGCAACCAATGCTAAGTTCATGATGGAAATTGCAGTTGATGAAAATGTAGTAGTAGCTAAGACACGACAAAGATTGGAGCTGACGATGTAATCTAAATTAACAAAGATTGATATAGAAAACATAGTTGCAGTTGCTGTAACAGATATAACATCCGATATTACAGACATTCGAATCAAACGATAGGTAGAATTTTGGAAGTCATTGTCTGTGAAAAGTAAATTGAGTAAAACTATGTTCAATATTAATCCAATTACAAAAAGAGGAAGAAAACCCAACCAAATATCGTGATAAATCTGTACAAAAAGCACTACAAATGAATTAGTAGTATTGGAAATAGCCATTCCTTTAGTAAGAAAATAATAAATTGATCGATAATTTGTAATATTTGGTAATTTGATAATATTATGCTTGAAATTAAATTTTAAAATGAAAAATTGGACTGTAACTGTTTAATAGACGAGAAAATGCGTAGCCAACATTAGGAGATATGGCAGCAAATGATGTATAATGAAAATGATATGCACTATTATTAAATTAAGCTGCAATAGGTATACCAATTGTTTTCCTCCATAAATTCAATACCATAAACATTTCACAACATTACCTATACTGCATTAAGCTCAGGTGTTTGTTATTTAATGCTGCTTAAAATGACGGAATAGATTGCGGAAAATTATTAACAATCTTTTATATATATTGAACGCAACTTATTCTTATTCGTCCATTAACAATCAGCATGGCGGTTTATAATTGGTTTACCCTATGAACAGCATAATAGACTATTATCGAATAGTCCTTAGAATTGATTCTTTCGCTTGCTATCTCAGTACTATATTAAACATAGGGATATTTCCGTAATTCAATTTACTTTTTCATTACCATTTATAAAATTGAACTTACGTTCCAGTATATTACAAAAATAGATCCTCATAATGACATCCTTTTAATGTAGCGTAGTGATTCGTATGTAATATAGTACTGTGCACTTACGTAAAATATGATATAAGAAGCCGATTTAGGTTTTACATTCTAAAGCAGACTTCTGGTACAGTAATATGTTATCTACCTAATACTATAAGATTTATCATCTACAGTTCACATAAAAAAATTTAAATCAATAAAGTCGTGTTACGAGTATGTGAAATATTAATGAACTTAAATTGACTATTAAACTGAATAAGTGCATAAGCTTATCATGCCTCATGAAGAATGTTTACATGGCTCTACAGTATCAGATCTTCTATTTAGGCAATTTGGTATGGAGGGATGTTATTATGGTATAAGATAGTGCAATCATATAGCTCTAATATTCTAATCGTTTTAATTTCATTTTACCTTTCCGTTTACCGATATAAATCCAAGAAATTCTGTAGTAATATCATATTATCGCTTGATATCAATGAACGAAATTAGATATATTAGCAATAGTACTGAACCATGATTTATCAGTCCTTATAATATATCATAGCACATTATAATTTAAGTTCATTCCGACACAGATACATTCAAAATTTTAGTTTAAGCGAAATAAAGAATAGTTTTGTACGCGTATTACGACCTCACTTTCTCATATTTTATTCAAACACTTAAAGTTCCAGTACAATATCTAACATTTTCTATTTTTTTGTATTAATAGTAAAAATTGCAACCATAAATGCGTATCCAAACCAATATGACAATGATCAAGGTCTAGCAGGTGATGGTTAGTAAATTATTCAAGATTATCGATATTTTCAAATAGTACTATCAATCCTCGAATAATTCTTCCATTATAATTAAAGGGAAATTGATTAGACTAAATTACTCAATCTCAAATTTCAGAGACTATACTGGATACTCATGATATTCATTACCATCTAAAGGAAAGAAGTTATAAAAGGGAAGCGCATCCTCTCCTGTTTTCAGGGATAATTTCAGGTAAACTGTGATCGTTAGATCAGAAGCAAGAAATTAATGGTTAGAGAATAATACGATTATTACAGCCCATAATACAACTACTTGATTTAGTCACTGAATTCACTAAATAGTATTACTAGTAGAACGCATATTCGCTATATTTAGTGCACTGTATGCAATTGCACGTTTTATTTTACGATATTATTAGCAGAAAAATGATTAGTCATTACCTAATCTTATTTTTTATCGTAAAAATATTCTTTCCATAAATATTTTTTATAGGCTATCCTCGAGTTGTAAAACGTTGCTCATCATGTGATGACCACATTATCACAATATCACAAGTGCTTCAAGTTCAACTTATGATTCCAAGCCAATGTCTAGCTGATGATGTAGAAATAGCGCTAACGGTTTATTACATAGATCCTCCATACACTGATAATTTACAGATGAAGAACGACGATGGCTATCTGATTTATGTATCACCAATTATTCGCCTTGAACCGATGGGTATAAATTTTATAGTAATGAATTATTTCATGCAAATTTACACTAGCCGATATTCTTTTCAAGAATTGCGTCAATATTTCAAAGTCAATAATACTTAAGATCTGCCATTAAAATTAGCTCTACGAAGCCAGTCGGATAAAATTTGGAATATCCAAGATGTACATGATCAAATGATATCGATATCACAAACAGACAATATATCTTACGTCAAGATATCAATCTGTCATTTCTCCAATTATTTCATCTTTTTTCGATCTACTATTTCAACTCTACAAAAGTTTTTGTTTCTAACGTATCAGAAAAGAGTTTGTGTAAAAGCTTCTCTATCAACAATCGATTACTGTCTGAATACAACTTATTTGAAGATTGTTTTACTAATGAAACATTACGGCAAATTCCTAAGGATTTTAAGTTCACATCGCTTTCAGCAGCCGAGCTCGAAAAGCAAATTATGGAGAATGGTCTATATCAAATCACTTTTAACGAAGACGGCCTAAATTGTAAAAATAGTAAATTGTTAGAGCAGACTATTAATATCAATTGGAATGTAACACTATGCTATTATCTCCATTACCAATGCTTTATTATAAGTCCAAATCGTAAGTCAACTGATGTAGCAAATCGAATAGTTACACCTATTGGTGATCAACGTGAATCAAATCCAAAATATTATTCTTGATAATGGTAAGTTAATAGTATACGTCAGAAATATGATGATTCATTAAACCTAAGAATAGTCGTATGACTTTAACTTGACTTTCAGAACTAAACATTAAATATCTATTTCGATCTTGCATAGACTTCATCAGACCAAGTTCCTGATGATATTGAGCCAACATCGATTAAAACTGGTCACTATTATCCTTGTAATTCTAGAATGATTTAATGCAATAGGGCATCATTACAAGTTAAGTTTAATTTCTAGATTATCTAATACTAAAATTATGATTGAAGTAATTCACTCTATATTTGATTGTGTGTGTAGCTCTATTTGATATGATCAGGCTTCTAAGAATAGATATTATGGTGATACTAACATTAGATGATTGCTTACTACTATACTATACAGTGAACGTACCTTTTCAGAATTGCTGATGACTATATTAGCCAGTTGATTAATTATAGTACAAGATTTATGTGGCTAAACCTACTTTAATCTCGAAGATGCCCAATAGCGAAAGGCGCTGGACATTAACAGAAAAGTAGGGATTTTTTAAGTAGAATGATTCGGATTATAGAAAATAATGATTTATTTGAGGAAAAGTATTCTATTTTTATGACTCAAGTCTGATTGTAGTTAATTATGTCATAAATGGATTTGATGAAATGTATTTAAGAAGTGCAGAGATGAAATCACAAGGGAGGCAGACTTAGCTTTGCTTTGAGCTCGGAATACTTTACATTTTAGACTAGGTTCTTGTAGTAATTGATTCTTGCGCGATTATTCTTGAAACCTTTATATAAAGCCTTTTAGAAAATTCCATTTGATTGCAATGGCGAACAGATGTTTGGCTATCAGACTAAGGCGAGCCTAGAGCCTTACTAATGCAATGCTATTAAGATATAATTCCACATTCAAGACTTTTAGCCTTTCTTTATTTTATTATCCTACTGATTTAATCGCTGACTTATTGATGGACACAATACTAAATCATCTTCACTTTCATCATTTCCTTAAATTGAAATTTTAATCTTATTTTGATACAAATCTAGTACCAGTTGCTGAAATGATTTCAGTACCACAAATACAGTATGCTGTAGATCATCAACATGGAACAGAATTCATTCGAATTGTAACCACTGATCGAATTTTGCGTCCATTGCAATGACAACATGTTGTAAGCAAAAGTGAAGTTATCCAAATGAAAAGCCAGTTGTACAGAGATTAGAACATACTTACTTTTCGATATCTTACGTAATTATCGCAATGGGCGTGATTTGGGGTATTTTGTCAATACTAATTATTACAAAGTAACGAGGTCTATGCGCTCCAAGAATTTAGGAAACTGTTGGAATTAGAAGCTAGAAATGGAAAACTGAATTCAGAATAAAACATTGAACCCTTGGACAGTCTATCCGAGTTCTATGTCATCATTCACTACAAGCTGACTGCTGACTGATAGTTTGTATTCGAAATTTCAAAAAATAAAATAACTCAATCATGCAGTAAAAATTAAAAAAACAGCAGGTGCCAATTACTCAAGGTTGTTGTGATCTATATTGGTGAAATTTTAGCCAAATTCAAAGTAAACACCTGAAAAATTGAAAGATAGAATTAATGGCTACGCAATGGCGGAACAGTTTTCAACTAGTACAGTGCAGTATTGTAGAGGGCTTGCCACGCCCGTGAAAAAAATGCTCTCCATTTTTGGCTTCAATGGGGCATAATTGAGTTATGTCACGTGTCTTTGTCAGACCATTCTTGACGTCTGATTGGCTGATAGACCACTTGGGTTGATGAACCTTCAAACCAACTCATGTTATTGTGCGTCACTTGCGGTACAGTGGACAGTACGTACAATGCGCCACGATCCTGGTACTGAAGAATTCATAGTAAACCAACAACAGACCAGGATAGTATGTACGGTAAGGTATCGCTGGTAACGTTGGCAGTGGCTTCTCCGATGGTATTTGCGTCAAGCGCTCAGGAGGGGGTGGTTGCTTAATTTAATTTAAGCATATCTATATGTATACCTACTTATTTATTATAATTATAATTATTGTAGCAAATTTCTATTGCTTACCACTTTCCATTTTGATAACGTGAAGATAACTTCTACTCAGATAATCCAAGACAAGTCATTATATTATTCAGTGCAATAGTCCTCTTGGTAAGATCCTTTGCATTTTAGGGATGTTTTTGGTGGCAACCCTATATGTATGCCTTCTTATATATTATAATTATAATTATTGTAGCGAATTTCTATTGCTTACCACTTTTCATTTTGATAACGTGAAGATAACTTCTACTCAGATAATCCAAGACAAGTCATTATATTATTCAGTGCAATAGTCCTCTTGGTAAGATCATTTGCATTTTGGGGGTTAAGCAGCAGTCAACACGGTAAAAGTCAACGCTTTTTGTGCACTGATTTTCATTTTTCAATCGGGTAATGATTGTTGAAATGTAGAAAATTCCAGCTTAGTAAATGCGTCAAAGTGAAATCGTTGGGATTTTTGCAACGGTACTACTCAAGCCGTTCGTTCCACTTGGATAAATGATACACGTCTGAAATTGATAATGCTTTGCTTAAAATTTTATTTTGATAATTGTATATAATTAAGTATTAAATACACGCGGATAAATGATACAAGTCTTTTAAAAGTTATAATACTTTGCTTAAATTTTACTTTGATATTTATAATGAGTAATAGTTACAATACTTTGCTTAAATTTTACTCTGATAATTGCAGATAGTTATTGTACAATGTACATACGCGGGTGAATGATACATATCCAAAACTTACAAAGCTTTGCTTACATTTTACATTGATTATTATAATTAGTTTTTGTACGTACGGCAATAAATAGTACACGTATGAAAGTTACAACGCTAAGCTTAAGTTTTAATTTGATAACTCTAATTAGTAATACAGTACTGACATTGCTTTGCTTAAATTTTACCCTGATAATTATAATTGGTTATTGTACAATATACCTACGGGGGGGTGAACGATACATATCCAAAAGTTACAAAGCTTTGCTTAAATTTTACTTTGATTATTACAATTAGTCGAGTACACGTTCAAATGAACGGGAACATTTACTACACAACATACTGCACTGAACAAGATTCAGAGCTAGGTTATCAGACTATCTATCAATCCCTTCTCAGTGTGAGATAATATGAGCTGCTTCAGTAAACTTTATTGTATACTTTGCGTAAATTCTACTTTGATAATTAGTTATTGTACATCGGGAATTTATTGACCCAGTGTCCTTTTCTATGATTTGGAATATTATTAACGAATACTCCATTAATAATTTATTTTATATTTTCACTATCGAAAGATGTATTTAGTATTGCAGCCTCTCATTACGTAAGAATTCTTCCGTCATTATTCAATTAGTAGTTCACATTTACTCTTTCAACTGAACCTACTTTACGGTATCCTCAGTACTAATTCACCAAATGCTTTAATGGTATATTGCTGGACTAATTATTTTTGTGGGTAATAAGTTGCTAATGATAAGTATATGAAACTATTTAGGCTTATTTTCACAATTTTATCGTTTTAGCAGATGGTTATGCACATTTTAAGGTGCAGATTCGATACTAGTCTAGTATGTAGCACTTCTTTTATATTAGAAACATCAATCAGGCATTTGCTAACATAGAAAACTGTAAAGATAGCGGTTACGCTAGTTATCAAAGGAGTGGATTTTAGGTAATCAATGTTCATAACACCTTTTTAACCCAACGCCAAAGAATGTCAAGCACGAAAAATCAAAAAGAATTTTTGTGATTCTTCCGTAAAATTTGTTTAATACTTCAATCTAGATTATCCGTAAAAATAAGCAAATTGCATTCTTTTAGGGCAATTTTGTCTCCAAATGCTAACCGTGTTACTTCTAGTAGATTTTAGATCAACGAAATTTTAAATGAATATTGATTATCATTTTAATTTACAAACATTAAAGATTTAGTTTTCTACAACTCCTGGCAGCATGACTGTAAATAAATAGCTACTGATTCAAATCTGGCAGCATCGTATGGCAATAGCTGTCTAATTCAAGTATAAAATTGATTCGATTAAATTTCATAAATCTCAGTCAGATAATAACCTGCCAATTTTTCGTGGACGTTTGCTAGCTTATATCACTATAAGCTGCTTTAATACAGTAAAACCTTAGTTAAATCGATTACCAATATTTATAATCTATAAGCCAGTACTTGCATACTTCCCCTTAATATCTACGTGTTGAATGTTTTAATTCATAATTCTGTCATCTCGCCAGCCTAATTTATTTCAGATTGATAAATACATTATCATAATAATTGTTAACGTGTAAGGACCCATTTGGCACTACCATAGCAGGATATTTTATTTATAGGAGTAATTTCAGTCTTTTATACAAGTACGGCTTTTATTAGATGATTTTTCACTTTTAATGATGATAGAATTCCATGTAACACTATTTTTTATCAATTGGTTCGCAATAGTTGGTTTTAAGATTACTGCATTACTAATGCAAAGGATAACTGCGGTTGGAAAACATCATTAAATAAATATTTGAGACAGCAGAAAGCATTTAAATTAGTAACTATAATTGCAAGAAGCATGCTATTTCAAAGTTAATTATGGCATTTCACTAGTCATAACATTATTTTAATGTACTTGTTTTAATCACAGTAGCAGTTCAACAAAACTTCCGAATGGACTATTAGTTTTTCGACGGATTAAAGAAATGAAAAATTGTAGGGAACAGATATAGCCTTTTACCACTTAGTATCACAGCTTAATTAATCTTTAAAAGCTTTATTAAAGGTATTAAAAATATTAGATGATTCATAACGATATTATGTGGAAACATCTATTCTCATATTTATGTGTTTGCTAGATAAAGGTGCTTGATACTTATAATGTTATAATTGTCGATCGTATCAGGAAGTTAGATAGTAGCTTGATTTAAAATTCGAAACATACATCCAATCCGAAGATCTTAGTTTATTTTCTGATGAGATATGTGTTTGTTAATTTTATATTCTGTAGCAATTTTAAATATTATAATTGGCCAAATTGGCATTTGACAGAAAACACATTTGCTTTTGAGAAATCAATAAGTAGCAAGTGACTGTTCAATTCGCAATAGTAGATAAATCAGATAACCTTTAATGGGTGCTTTCATGGGAAAATCTTGTACAATTAAAAATAATCTACTTAACTCTTACTTGATTAATATCATAAATGAATCAAAATTCTAGTATAAAAATTTTGTTAACTCGAATTAATTATTAATAGAATTAAAATAATTTATTCATTCATTATCGATTAGGCAAGTCACAGATATTATTTCTAACTTATCATCTTACATTAGTTATGTCATAGTTCTACCAGAAGTTCTAGTACCTTATTATAGATGTGGAGTGCCGGTTTAATTCAAATCTGATTAGTCGTTCGAATTATCGTTCGATAGCTTTATTTCTTCATGAATTAAGCTATACTGTTTTCTTGGATTTTAAAAGGTCTTTACAGTTATTTCTTCATCAAGATTAATGGCAACTGCTAGTACAACGATTGTTAATGATAGCCCTCTACAAGTTTTACCATCTATAGACCTTCCCAACCTAATACAACGCAAAGCTACTGATCATATGGTAGGTTTTCTTTTATTACAGGCAGACTGACTAATTACGGAAAAAGCCATTACTTGATTGTTACGATTCTAGTCAACGTATTTTGTAGATTAGTTTGTTGTTTTCGTAAATTGTTTATTACATTAGATGATAATCGAATGTGAATTAAATATTTTAATGATGATATTTAACTCAGTATCAACATTACTTATTATTTCATCTTGATGAGTTGCTATTAATTAAAGTCAATTAATTGATTTAGTGGTGCTGAGTTTCTAGGTCCTAGTTGGTCATTAATTGATTTATTAAAAATTAAAGTTGTTTACTGTTGGACTCTATAGTGAGTTATATTATAAATTTTCTGTCTTATTTTATACTAATGCAAGTAAATTGTAGAACCAGCATACTTTAGCTATACCCCATAAGTGTATTGCAATTGTATATAAGCTCATATAGCGTTTTGTTTACTCAGTTGCTATTTCTTAGTTTTGCGATAAGGTCTATACTTTTTGTGTACACTTAGAATAAAATTCATTTAGTTAAACCAGCTTCTAGCCACTCATAATACTTGTGAGTCAGTAGTTAGTCTAACTTTCGGCACTCCTCCTTAGTTAGTAGAAATCTTTAGGTAGCTAGTAAGGTAGTTTAATAAGATCATATACCAGAAGAGTAAATCGTGACATTGATATATTACAAAGCATAGCAGATTCAGTGACTAAAGAAAAGTATTCGTAATATTTCTACAATAGCAATGCAATGACGAACCTTTCAATATTGTTGATATTGGTGATATAGTCCACAAGATTAAAATGGTAAGCAGATGATAATAAACCCTCGAATATATCATGTGAAACACAGATAACCAAATTGCACATTTCCAGTTAGAAAGTGTACAACTACGCTTTAGTCTACTATAACAAAAGACATAGCATTAATCCTGAAGTAAATGCTGATATAATGTATTTATAATAACAGTGTTTAACAATGTCTATTGAGATCGAAGCTTTATAGAAGTATTGATATTTCAGTAAAATAACAAGAAATATCTCAATTGTATTTTTTCTATAACTCTATAACTTAACAATTATTCTTCATCTTCTTGATTTGGTATTACAATTATAAATGAAATTGCGAGACATAATTTGACATTTCTTTGTTAAGTTTTAGTTTGTAACTGTAAAGAGTTGGTAAATAATAATGCTTTCAATATTGTGCAATATATTTTACTAAAAATTCGAATTCGCAATTTCGTTAAAGATTTTTACAATTGTCAAGTATTACTTACTATCTAGAGTTAATGTTAACTACGGTATTTAAGGTTTTACTATTCTCAACTGGCATAGGAGGTAGGGATCGGTACAAGTGGTTAAAGTTAATATACAACTATCTACTAATCTCCACACCCTCGATTACTTAAAAAACGGCCATGTTTTATGTTTAGACTGTCCACAGTTGTAATGTACGAGTATTGTGTGCCTAACAATTATTATATTGTACGATAGTAGATTAGTGATAAAGTGGAATTAAGAATCGCAATGAGGTTTCCAACTTACTTAAGCGTAATCCTCGTAAAAACGAAAATTTTGGTAATAACTTTTATTGCATGTCACTAAAAATTAGTCACAAGCATTAGGTCATTTTTAGCAAATGTAAGTTGGTAATGAGATCATGCTAACGGTAATCTGTAACAATAACAGGTTTATAATATATCAAATTCAGCTAATATTGAATTAAAGTACACATGCAATCGTATTAAATGTATAGCAGCTAGGAACTTAGTTATGTCCGAATTTTTTCGTTGCAAAATATATACAATCTAATAAATTATTACATAGCAGATAATGCCGCAATATTTATACCCCGATTACTATTTAAGTTACAAACCTTAAACGATGAATAACTCACTTAAGATCTATGGGTGCATGGGTATTTAAGCGTCGTCATATGAATAACAAATGCTTTAATCCCATCATACATGATACGTTTTCCAACAGTTGAAGTATTTGAGAACTTAAAGAGTCTTTACAAGTGAGAACTTTCAATGGCAGACAAAAGTTAAAGATTTAGTTACACTAACTAATCGAATTGTTAACAGTATAAATGATGAAGTGCAGAATTTTGTTGATATAAACAACTTGATAGCAGATAAAAAGGCATTCACTTTTCCTGAGATGATAATGTAAAGTTACCTTCTTACATTGATATAAACATACATTTATTATTCTTGGCTATAAATCATGCAGTGGTTTTCTCTCCTGCCTCGTGTACATCCTTATTTTGGTATGTTCACATTTTAAAACTGAATCTATTCAGATTAAATTCACCTTTAAAATTAATGCATGAATTATATATATACTTCTAAAAAACATATTGACTTTGCTACTTGCATAACTAGCCCTAAAATGTAACGTTGATAGAGGATTTTTAGCCACTTTACTAGCCTTTGGATTTGGTTTTGAAGGTGTTAGTAAGGTCAGCATAAATTTTAATTTTTAACAATTTCAGCATAGATAGTAGAATAGAATTAATCGTATCATGTTATAGTAATTATCATAACTATTTTATTAACGGATTAATTAAATATATCATTTTATGAAGGCTGAAATCGATACAGTTTTGAAAATGGGGGCTTCACCTGAAAAGATTATTTTTGCTAATCCATACAAGCCAATTTCTCATATAAAGTATGTTTTAATAGAGTATCATGTTTAAAGTAGAAATAAGGTAAATCGTTAATAATATGACGATTTTAATAATATCCATAGTATTATTAAAAAGCGAATGTACATGGGCTGAGAGTAAATAAATTAATTAGACTACTTAAATAAATTCTGGGTATTTAAGATACGCTGCTCATCAAAACGTAAATCTGATGACATTCGACAACGTCACAGAATTATATAAGATCAAAGAGTTTTATCCAAAAGCAAGGTGAATTATTTAATACCCTCCTATTAGCCTATAGCACTATATCTCGAAATTAATACTTTTTATATAACGGCTATCAATGTGAATACATTAGGTTACTTTTACGTTTAAAATTTGATGATCCTAGATCGAAGTATGAAGTAAGTTATTATCACTTATTTACGCACGTAGCCTAAAAAGATAGTCATGATCGTATAGTAAGTGTTTTCATGTTCCTTACGATGCAGTTGGGTAAAAAATACGGCGTTGAAATTGATGAAGTTACGCATATACTACAGATAGCGCGCGAGTTACAGCTAAATGTCGTTGGAATTAGGTAAGTAAATTAGCAGTATTCAATCAACTATCTAGACTTAAATATTCGATTAATAATTTACAGCTATGTAAACGTTTGGTTAACTGTTTTTTTATCAGCATATAAGAATAATGCAAATTACATCTACTTATTGTTATATAATAGCGCGTGCATACGTTCATTTATGGGATTAATAGTTGAGATTGTTATGATTACTTCATTTAGTGTCGATATTGCCTTGTCGATTAATTTATTTGATCTATCCACTTGAATTTTCGATAGTTATCACGTCGGTGGCGGATATACCGATGCCTGTAATTTTTTGAAAGCTATAGAATTAGCTAAAACTGCCTTTAATTATGCGGTATTCATAAATACATTGACGACTAAATTTTATGATAACATAATACTAAACATGTAGTTTAAGTTTATAATAAATGTCGAGTAGATTTTAATTCAAATACTTAACCCTCGGAATAACAGAAATCGATAGGAATTAATTTTAATGTTTTGGATATTGGTGGTGGATTTCCTGGCCAAGCAAATTCACTTTTTAAGAAAGTACGAGGATCTAAATTGACATAGTTAATAGATCAAGAACGAAATTTTAAATATATTTAGTTTTTCAAATATTTTTGTCTAGATTTGTAGCAATATCAGCAGCGCTTTAGATAAGCATTTCCCAGTTGAAGACAACATTAGCATTATTGCTGAGCCCGGTAAAACTTCCTTTTTTAAATACCGTTTTAATCTCGATTATGATCTAATTTAGCAATCAATTTCTATCATAAACACAGAGCCTAAGAATGGCAATTAATTATTAATCTTAGGCTTTATTATCCTCGTTTAATAGGTAGATATTTCGCGGAAACTGCCTTTACGTTAGTTCTTTGCGTAGCTGGCAAACGTGAAATTTATGAAATTGATCAGAAGATTCCAGTTTATAGTAAGATTCATAGGAATTATTAGGCCTCATGTAATTGTGCTTTCCAATATTGGATATTTACGGTGGAGTTAATGTGTTGTCGCAATTTAATTGATTGACAATTATAAAACGCTAGATAAAGGATGTATTAAAAAGAAATTTAGAAATGAGGCCTGTAATAAGGTACGGCAGTAATATCCAAGTCTACAATTAATTCTTGAGTGCAGTAGTAATGCTTTGTTTTTGAAATTTTATTAAAGAAAAAGTTTGAATATTACGTCAATGACGGGCGTTATGGATCCTTTTCTGAATTTTTAATGAGCTACGGATGTCAGTATCCTCAAGTTATCGGAAAGAAATCTGAAACGTTATATTCAACTCGTCTTTGGGGACCCACTGTTAGCGGATCGGATTGTATATTTGAGGAATGCTACCTTCCTGAAGTAAGAACTTGTTGTAATATTAAAGACGTGACTTATTGATAAAAATTTGAAAGTATTGATGAATTTGTCGACAGTTACAAGCTCAAGCGATAGCATGTAATCAGTCTCAAAAACTTTCTGTATCATCCTTAGCTAAATATTGCTGACAATTACGTAATATTTCTATCGTAACACACTGTAGCTCGAAGTAGGGGATCTAATTTACTTTGAAGGTAAGAAAAAATTATAATCTTATCAGGAAAGAGACAATACCATAACAAATGTTTTATCGACAATCTTGATAGAAATGGGAGCCTATACGACAGTTTTAGGTACTAATTTTAATGGACTTACTAGACCTGTTTCATACTATGTCATTGATCAAGGGATGTGGTAAGACCAGCACTTTCGAAACTTATTAACGTTTTATCATTACCTGGATTTAGAACTTGTGAAAACCCAGCTTATAATTGAATTTTTAACAGGAACGTGGCTAACCATAAATTATTGACAAAATTCAAGGCCGTTGATGAATACTCAGCGTAAATAGACACATTTAATTAGATAGAATATGAGAGTATGCATATCCACGAAGGAATTACTACTTAAGCGCATTATTAGATAAATCACAAATTACAAAGCTAAATACTGCAATGATGAGTGTTGAATTTACGCCGTTATTTCATTTATTCTTAGGTATTACGAAGTTACAGTACAATAACAAGGCTAAGATGTAATAATTGCTCTAATGATACCTAATATATGCAGTATTGTAAAAATAAGTCATTATAATTAGGAGATAAATTAGATGAGTACATAAAATTTAATATCAGTATGTAATCGTTCTGTAACGCCTAATATAGATGCATAAGATTTTACTCTGTGAAATAGCAGAGCCTATATCATAGACCTAAACATAATTATTGAAGTTCGCGTACCATGATTGCCAGTAGTATTATTACTGGAAGCAAATAAGCACATATTAAAGAATAAAATGATTGATTATTACTGGCTACTTTCGGAGAATTTATAATCAACTCACGCTTCAACATTTGTATAAATCCTTATAACGAAGTACAGTGAATGTTAATCTGATTGATAGATATGGAATTGATAAAATTGGTAAATAATAGAATTTTATAATTAAAAGCGGATACAGTCGGTGATTATGAAGTCATATATGAGTATTTTGTCCTAAATATCACTAATATTCTTCATAATCTAGCCGTAATTTATTACAATACGTCCTTATCGAATATTACTTCCTGTATTTATGATAATAGCTGATAGTGTTAGACAACAAATACCTTTTATTATCATTAATAATCATTTCCATTTCAATCTTTTATTATAAATTTGTAAATGTTAACTCCTGCTATTTGTACAATTTGCCGCTGTAAAACTGAATGTTACTTACATCGAAATTATTTCGTATTGAATGTATTATGTTTCATCCGAAATGTGAATTTCTTCCCTTCAGATTTAGTTATTTAACGTGTTACACAGATTTAATTCCCATTAGCTTATCTAGACTTTACAGATAGCCTTACCATTTTACAATATTATTATTGTAATATTAACATTAATATTGCAGTTCCAATTTGAAATCTCTGAAGTTGACTATATTTCCCGATTCAATTTCATAAATTTATTTTGTTAGCATGAATACAACATGTTTTCCAAACACCTTTTATTTATGTTTACTTTAGTAAACCAAAACTAAATGCAATCACGAAATGAATCCTACTTAATGCTTTAATGCAAGCACCATCGATTGATTGATCGTACCACTTCAATAGACATTTTCCCTATCAACCTACTCTTATAATCTTCTTAACTATGTCTACAGACAAGCTCAGCAGCTGAGATACTCAGATCAATTCTCCAATCAATACTTTAACTGTATTCTGCAATGGAATACGTTTATTTCAAAGAGTATTAACACCAACATAAGCTTACTTCCTGAACGACTATCTGCTGTTACGCAGTTGCTTCTTTACTGTGCTACAACGATATACTACCAAGGTCCAATGAGTTCAACGACTTGACCTAATACGATACCATAAATTACAAACAGATCTTGAAAGCTAAATCTTCACCTTTATTTTTACTCATAAAATTGAATCTACGCTAAATTAAGGAGACGAATGTTGTTAATAAAGAGATGACAGAAGAGTAAATTACATCATATCTGGTGGCCATCGTGATAGAGAATAACTAAAACTCTAAAGTAATCCTGCTCAATTTATCCAACAGATTAAAAGAAAACTAGAAATAGAAGCTAGAAATCAAGGACCGATTTGAAACACTCAATCTTACGCTATTGTAAAATATTACAAAAACCATCCATGGTAGAGTCTCTCTTGAATAGCCAAAATGCAGAGAATCATGCTACAGTTCCATCTCATCAAAACGCGATAATCATTAGACAGATAGATGCAATCTTTCCTTGTTTCGGCTACAATTGAGATCTTATCACTACTTGCCATTGATCGGCAAGTAGTGATCATTTTGATGTTATAAGATGATGCAATTCTTGACAACGTAAAATTCTATCACGCACTAAATTAGTAAGATTGAACAGTAAAAAGGCAGATACAAAATAAAGGAAATTTATTATGCAGACTTTCAATTCAAACTATTTCTTTATCTACGTTGAGCTGCTTCATTATTTTACACACAAGGTATATCGCAAATCTAGAATTTATAATCCCAGCAGCAAAATTTACCTGCAATAATTTTTTTCATACTGTTAGAAAGTATTTTGTCCAATGTCGATGTAGGAAAAAACTTTATAGTAAATATTGCAAAGTTACTATTACAAACTAGATAGTATAAATGATTTAGATTTCTTCGTTCTTTTTTATGCTAATATTGTAGTCTAGCATTGAGATCATTCCGTATAATATGAACAAATGTGCAGCTTTCAATCAAATTCTTTAACCGACAAGCCTTAACAGATCGCATTTTCATCGTCTATCCATCTAGATAAAAGAATTATATTTACAAGGTGTATTATAATTATCGGACCAGCTATGCATGCTGGGACTTTAAATGTTGCTTAAGATCTGGCATATGCTTGGGACTATATTTGCACTTATGACATTGCAAAGGTGAAGCAAGAAAAGATTGATATAATTCCTTATTTAAGCTAATGGATTTTTTCCTTTCCAGTTCTTGTATAATATTGGTTGAAAGCAAAAAGAAGGATGTCGTAAATGAATTCCAATGTTTTTTAGTCTTTAAACAATCTGAATTGAAATCTTGACTGATGACATGAACATGCAATGGAGTCATACTTGGTATAGCATGATAGCCGATTCTAAATTCCAGCTTGCCTTGATCATCATTTTTCCCTTGAATTCTGTCGATCAGCTCCTGTGCACGTTGGTGTAAATGTTTTACAAGATGTAGATGTTGATCAGCTCGTAATTGTTGTATATTGTTAATATCATCCTTAGGCATGATTAAATAATGATGCTTAGCTTTAGGAAATTTATCTTTAATGGTGACAGTTAGATCATCTTCTTCTACTTTTAAATTAGGATCTCTGATGGAATCTTTCAACGATAGAAAGGCCCTATTAAACATAACACTGCCATACCGATTTTTTTTAAATCCACGATAAGACATGATCATAAAAGTAAACAACAAGATCGCTCCACTTCAAAGTCGTTTAGCTCGCAAGAAAACTCGTTAAGATTGAAATTTAACCTCTGTCTATCCCATAAGCATTCTTCTTGGCTCGATTGCTTCAAGCAGTACCTTTGCCAACGAGATCTTTCACCAACAGCCTGCCATCTTGCAGTCGCTGCAGTAGCTCAGCTCCTCCTTTGCGTGGCATCTCCAAGCTGAGAAGGCTTAACTGGAACAGTTGTACCGTTCACCCATACAATATCTAATGAAGTTTTCTCATGTTTGGAGCATATAGTACTCAATTACCACAATTTTGCTGCTTAACTCGTCGTACGGAATACTGGACGTACAGAACGTTTGACCATAGCATACTCTGTGTACGATACAGCCTTGCAGCATGATACAGTAATATAGAGTAAAAGTGTAAACATCGACACCACTAAAGTTGCCTGAAATCGACACCTTCTTCTACTCTTAACGCTAGCATCGAGCTCATCATTTGTCATCGCTTCTCTTCCTGACAGCCGATGGTGGAAAATTTGGGCGTAGAAATGATCATTCTGCTCCATCAATAAGTTTTTTATCCAACTTGCAATCATGGTAATACAATATTGATGAGAAAGAGATTGTAATGTACAGTTGGTAGTCACCGATCGTAGATATGCTTGATTGCAAATGGCTGAAGAATGATTTGGTTCATTTCTGACTACTTTTAGGTTTATGCAGCTCGGCTACATGAGCGCTATACTTGAATGATTTTATTATCTTTCAGATAGTGCTGCTCAAAGTTGTGCAAATCGACCTTAAAAAGCTTGAATCAGTAAGATTTACAGTACAAGTAAACCGATACTAGGACGATAGTATGAGATTGCGATCGTTATCCCATGCTCTCCGAGTAGGATGGCTTAATTATGGTCATGGATGTCTGTTCTATGGCAACTCTCCATGGATACGATACAATTCTACTACCGGTCATAAAGTAGCGTGTATAGAAGATCTATCTATTGGTCAATCGGTTGAAATAACAAGATCATTTAGTCATAACGATGTTAAGCTATTTGCTCAGCTAAGTGGAGACAATAACCCTTTACATCTGGATCCCGACTACGCCAAGAATACTCAATTTGGACGTTGTATTGTACACGGATTGTTAATTAATGGGTACTAGAAACTCATATGCGTAAGGGATATCATGATAAATTAATGAGCATTTCTATCATGACATAGATTGCTATCAGCTCTACTTGGGACGAAATTACCAGGTTATGGAACGATCTATGTATCTCAGGATATAAGATTTCATTCCCCTTGTAAGTAATATGCAGGTAGATCTATAAATGAAAACTGTTATTATCATATTTGGATGCAATGACGATGATAGAAGAGAGCAATGACTAAGAATGAGTACATATAACAGTAATACCGTACTTCACCTTGCCTAGCTATTTCTATCGTTAATCCATATTTGGTGTACAGTTATTAATGAATTCATCTTACATTCTACAGTATATATAGATGAAGAAGTCACTGCTCTTGTCCAAATTAGTAACATCCGAAGGTCAACTGTTTATGCAGCTCTCACGTGTACCGCAAAAGAGAGAAATGAGGTAATTAGTGGCTAAGAAATGAAAGTAGTTTCTTGTAGATCCTATTGCGTCAATGAATGTGAAGATTTTAGTCGATGGTTAGCTAAATACATTAAAACCATTATTCCTGAGTAAGAAAATTGCAATTATTATTTTCATTTCATATAATTATTAATGATAGTTGCCGATTCAATAACTTGAAAATATCAATCTCTTTGTATTATAAATTGATAAATCCTGATGAAAGTTGGTCTCTGCTGTCTGATTTTGAGATGTCAAACATGCTTCTCTTCAATTATTTCAGAATTAAGCTATGATTTGATATTAATGGCTTTAAAATAACTTATAGGTGTTCATAATCAATCTATTACAGGTAGTACTGTCAGGCCAGGCTATTGTTATGATACCCAAAAGGAACCAAATTCAAAGTGAATAATTTTAGTGCCAAGAATCGGATAATTATTACAGCAATCCTACGTGCCAACAAAAGAGTCGAGCGGGATGATTAAGCAAGACTAGTATTTGCATTAATGTTGCTTATTTTCGTATGTAACTATACTAAGTTTCTGCGTGTATCTATGGCAATGGTATTCAATTTTATGTAAAAAAGAAAGAGTTTATTTATTCGAAATATTGACCAGCTATAATTATTATACTTAGTAAATGAGTAGTTATTTAAATGGATTATTTCTTTTTTGTATACTTTAGTTTACAATTTAATTAACTTGACGCTAGAAAAGTATCTTAATGCTAGAATGTAAGTAGATGTAAATTGCAATTCGTATGATTCATACAGTAACGTTAACCGTTTCAATATCAGCTACTGTCCATTTATACTTTATTTAGGTTACTTAGTCTGTTATAGTACATATATGCTATCCTATAGTAGGTTTGAAAAAAATAGGAAGATTTACAAAGATTAATTCCGAATGGTGATCCATGTACACTTTCACATCAAATAACATACGGTAGCTACTCATGGTAATAACATTGCCACTTATACTATTATTCTACATTATAGTAGTAATGATTATCTTAGGATAGGAAGAGAAATTAGGATTAAAATGTTGTCACAAATATCTCCTACTTGTGAGCGATTAAACTTCTCTAGTTACTATTACTCTCGTTGAACACTGGCTATTATGGTCGAGGTTAGAACTACTAGAAGAGTTTTAATGTTATAAAATACTTTATTGGTATAAGTCCGGCTTGCAGGCCTGTCTATTACGATCGGAATTTGGAACTGAACAAGCTAGTAAGCTAAGTAATTCTATGGCAACAATATAGACGGTGCATTTACATTTAATAATCCGAAACTCAAATAGCAATAGCGAATCGCAATTAACAGGAATGGATAAACAACATTAAAAGCAATTAGAAATATTAATTTAGCTTACGGTGTCAGACACCGTAGCAAATGTACATCTGTATTAGCGAATCTATGACTAATGTCCACTGACGATGAAATTAAAAAATTCTGTATGCCTTGACTAAGCAATACCGCTGAACTAATATAATTGAATCAAGAAAAATCCCTATCTTTATCAGCCAGCTACCAAATAGACAATAAGACTTAAATGCATATACAATTTATTTCTAGAACGCTGAATTAGAATATTCCTTACATTATCCCACTAAACTATCGAGCTATATTTTCTCTTTACACTAGTGTACTTCACCTGTAGGATTGTCGAATAAATATTTATAAAGCTGTAATCTATTTTACGGCTTGAACAGTGCCTAGTGCAATTAAGTTGATGAATTACTTGGGTCCAGTATATACGCATATAAAATTCTCCGAGATCAATCGATATATAATGGTCGGCTCTTTAGTATCTTGAATTCTCCATAATCGATAATATATTTTCAATAAATGCTAGTTTCTCATGATAATATATTCTCTAGAATCCGTAATCAGTAAATGCGCCGCATTTGCCACAATATTTGTAATGAATCGATAAGACTATTAATGATTATTTTTGCAGAAACTTGACAAAATTTTGCAGTTTCTATGTAATACTAGAATCCGTATTTATAATTCAAAGTCAATAATTAAGTGATGAATAGAATGGCGATAGAATGGAAACAAAACTTATAAAATATAAACCATACACTGGTCGAGATATATCACTAGCAATATTACATATAGCAATTCCACTTATTTTATATAATATATCGATGTAAATGCTAGATTACGCATAGCACGAAGTCACTGCATCTGATTGCAAGATAGAAAGAATCTTGATCTGTAGATTTAGACTACTATTTGATCCAATATAGACCTACTCGTATTCATTAATTCACTTTATATATTCGTTATGTACAACAGAAATATGGCGTTAACTGAAAACAAAACTAGTCTAAAAGTTCATCATTCAATGTAAATTTAGGGAGATGTTTCTTTGAAATTGTGAAGCATATTGTGATTGAATCTATGAATCAGATATTCTTTAATAGTTTTTACACAATTTCTGATTAAAGGCATAAACTGACTTTAAAAAATTATTTTTGTTTCCTTTATCAACAGCCATTCATAATGAGTGATTGACAGGATATTGTTGCAATAGATATATATGAGCAAAAAAATTATAGCAAAGCATTCAATAACATTAACCAACTTGCCTTTTTAAAGTAATTGTAGCGATATAACTAGTACCATGGCCTAACATTAACCCTAAACTTAGTAATATGGATTGGAAATCTCATCACACCTTTGTACTTTTCTAAAAATCATTTCGGAAGAATGGCTGATTGTATAATAAAGTCAAAGATGCTACTCAAGTACGACAAAGTTCAATAATAACTTAGTCATTATCCGCCTCTTTTTTATGGAATTTTTATTTAAAACTATTTCATAGAAGTAATAATCAAGCAAATTGAGTAAATCAATAATGATAAAACGATGACAAATAAATCACTTCTGATGATCAATTTCATCCCAAGCGATGAGACTTATTCTATACTATAGTTTTATCATTCCGGATATATGTGATGCTATAGGTATATGCTGTTATTTTATTTAAAAGTTATCTGAAATTGATTGCATAATCAAGAAGCATTCACTAGTCGTTCTATCGATAGTATTTATAAATCGGAGCCTAACTAATATTGATTCAATTGCGCTCTTTCATTATTATATGCCTTGACTAGTCGATTATTTCCCTAAATTACTTTCAAAGAGGTCATAATATAACGCCTAAACTATTCTTTTTAGACTAATTATACACGAAGCTTTTACATATCTTTCTTTATGCTTTTACAATTAGTTTGCATAGAAGCCAACATTGTTTACTTCAAATGACAAATTAATAGTTTACTCTTCCATTGATGAATTAATATAACATGAACAAAAGAAGCATCTACTGGCTTCTAACAAAAGTTTGCTATTACTAGCCATTTCAATGGCGGCGTTAAAGATATGAATATATTATCCGATCGTCATAGCAACAAGTGGCAGTAAAGAGCAGAACTATTTTTTCGTCTTTCTATCGGATAGAATTTATGTCTGCAAAGGGATCCAACTATGATGATTGATGAGAATCATTCTTAACTCAGCATGACCAATTACAATAACAAACTATAATTTCGTCATAGGATAGATGCTCTCGACTAATTAAGAAGAGTCAATTCCTTGGTTAATATATTATTATCGAATTGTTTTAGCACTGAAAAAGAGGTTGGAATTTATTCTGTTTTCATACTCTGGACGCAAGTCAACATTTCCATTTAGCCTAAGAAGATTATATGCTAGTTACGAAATTAAAGCAGTAAAAATTAACTGACTCCGAAATGGCATCACAATCACCCAATAAAAGTGCAAAGAAACTCCAATTTAAACAGAAAATCCTTTCAACGATCAGTGGGAATAAAAACCAAATTAGTAAAGCTATCATGGAATCAAACCAACCAGTCTCCGTGGTAAATACGTGTATATTTATAGCATTCCATTTATTCCTGATAGGCAATCCTGTCTAATCAATTTAAAGTATAACGGATAGTTCCTAACATTAAATTAATATGGTCATGGCAATGTATTTCAATCTTGATTGTAGAGTCTTGTTTTCATCATATTTATCATTTCGGTTTGGATTACCAATTAGTGTCGGATAGGAATTAATATTTTTTAAAAGCAATTTTTATGCTGTTGATAACAATTATATCTATTTCATATTTCCATATAGTTAACTAAAGTAATAATCTGAAATATTTTTCTGAGGAAATGATGAGAAGATATATTCAAATTATATGAGCAGATTAGTACTACATCCTGTTTATCAATGGTGTTCAGATAATAATTACCGAAAAAAACTGTTAAAATTAAAAAATAAACAGATTGAAAAACGGTTTTACTCTAATCGCCAATAGTATTCCATCGAAGCTTATATTTAGTCTTATTTAATAAAGGAATAGACTAATTTATCTTCATTAAAAAGAAGTACAATTATATTTAAATCGTTAATAATATCGGTTCCTAGCTCATATTTTTATCTTGTTATCTAAAGAAAACAGACTGATTGATCTTCCTGAAGAAATGATATCAAGTATCTTTAAATCTTCTTAGTTGATTACCACTGTATCATATTCACTAGGGCTGTTTAAAATAACATTTACACCTACAAGCGGATGAAAATGGATAAATTGGAAAATAACTTTATGTACATCTTTCATTTAGCTGGAGTGGAATAGATCGTAATTACTCAATAATTTAATCTATTCTTAATATCATTGCTTTTCTTTATTATCTCGCATAGGGCAAACAAACGAGGCCAAACTCTCGCTTAAGGCGAATTGAAGAAAAGATGAGAGCTGCTGATTTAGAAATTGATTCTGACTCTGATAGCAGTAATGACGGATGGGATACTGATCTTGATGATGTGGGTAAGTTCCCATCAGAATAATATACCGCTTTAAGCACTATCATCTAGATTATGACGGATTCGAGTTCTAATTAAAAAATGAGATGGTTCGATATCTTCTACATGAAATCGAGACAAATCTGTTTAGCTCATCGTTATCCCTATGACATTAAGAAGCTATACAGTACAGTAACATAAGTTCGTTGTATTTTCTGATAACCTTGAAAATTTATCACAACATAAGGTTAAACTGAGTCCTGCTAGACTCAATTACTGCAGTTATTCATGCTAAGATTCTGATTAATATTACTACATAGTAATGTAAGCTTTCGAATATATTCGTTTATCAACGAACAAATATGGTACCATCAATGTAATTGATAAAGCCGAAGTCTATTTAATTAGTGACTTCATAAGTGATATTTTTGACCGATGGAGTATTCTGATCTATCTATAAGCATCGATATCAACACTTTAATATCAGTACTATGTTATTAATTTATTTAGCTTCAGCATCTGAAGAAGAATATGAAGATCCATTAAAAGCAATGTACATCAACGAATGTAAAAAGAAGGGCATGACTCCAGTATCCCACTATGTACGGCACTTTACCGATAAAGGTCTCCATCTTAGCCATTTAGGCCTGGGATCTCGAGATATCAAAATTCTTGCTCAAAGTCTTGTGGTAAATTTCTAATGATTTGCATCCATAGATTGTAATATCTATCCTTTAATAAATTGTAAAGGCAGAACGGAATACTTAGATTTCAAATGATATAATTTACGTTATTTTAATGTTTATTCAACAGGAAAATACTGCCACGGTTAAGCTAGATCTACAGGATAATCGTCTCGAAGGAGAAGGAGCTGTTGCTATCGCCAATATGATGAAAGAAAATACCACAATTAAAGAAATAGTTAGTATCTGATTCTGTTATGCGCCAATATTAGTTGTGATTGTCAGCTATAAATTCATGATCCGAAAGTTTGGAGTTGTAGTATTAAATATTTCAAACATGCATTGCCAATCATCATTGACTCTCTGGCTTATAAATTTATCCTTTATATCATTCGATAGAATTTAGCCGAAAACAGAATTCGAAGTGAAGGAGCCAATGCTGTAGCTGAAATGCTTCTTTATAATACAGAGATGCTCTCCCTGAATGTTTCAGGTTTGTTCAATTCCTTTTAAGCATTTCTAGAAGGGTAAAATATCCACCTTAAAAATTGTCGAATCGGCCAGGACAATTAAAGTGGAATACTCTCGATTTTTTCGCTGCAGGAAACGATTTTGAAGACAACGATGCAGAGATATTATCGGAACCCATTATGGTAAAAATTAAAATATTTGCATATCAATATGCATTATACTCTAGCTAAGCATGTTAACTAATGCTAAATTTAAGCAGGAGAAGCCCGTCTATGTTTCTTTTATAATGATTTAATTCCCTTCTACAGATTAATTTCCACCTACAGACACTTAATTTAAGCCATAATAAGTTTTCCATTATTGGCGGCCAATTCTTAGGGAGTGCAATAGGTAAGAAAATCTATTACCAACATTCTACCATTTCCTTAACAAGTTCATAGAGTCGAGAGAATAAAATTCTTTTATTTTCGTGATTAATATCTACAGCTCAAAATGATGGAATCGAAGATTTAGATTTAAGTTGGAATCATCTACGGAAAAAAGGTGCACATGCAATCGCAATCGCTTTAAGGGTAAGTAAAAAGCAAATGAATTTATGCCTCTGCTGTATTAAAGTAGATGATGCTAAGTATTTTTGCTAAGTCAGAAATAATTATTCAACCCTACTAAAGGAAAATGTTATATTTCCATTACATTTTTTATAGAGTAACGTTAGGTTAAAATATTTAAACTTGTCTTGGAATGGTTTTGCTGATGATGGGGCAGCCATCATGGGTGAAACATTAAAATATAATAATACCCTCCTAGAGTTGGATCTCAGGTAACTTTCTTAGCACTAAACTAAATCTATTTATCCTGTAACTGCAATCGTCGTAGTTTTCAATGATACTTGATGCATAATCAAGCATAAAATATTATTTTCCTCGTAGTAATAATCGTATAGGAGTCAAGGGAGCAAAGGCTTTAGCTCTTGGTTTAGCAGTCAATGACACCATTAGAGTTATAAAAGTAAGTTGATAACTAAGTTATTAGCCTGCTTTCGTCTTATAAAAACGAAATTAATGTAAAAATAATAGGTATAGCATCTATTTGATATTTGGCCATTCAACCACACTGCTAATTAATTGTATCTTCTAATTCTATTATATAATAATTTCTTTTCAGATTGGCAAGAATCCAATTTATGCCGAAGGTTGTTGTTCGATCCTTGAAGCCATAAATCGCAATCCTCGAACGGTTATTGTAGACATAGAAATGCAGGTAAAATAAAGCTGTTCAGAAAATGTATAATCATATATGTAACTTCAAGTTCTTTCTCTTTATTATTGTTAATACTTCTACAGGATATTCTTATTGATGACGTTTGTGGAAAGATACTAGAAGAAATAACTAAAAAATTTCCCACGATTAAAATCACTCATGGCGGTTTTTCCAATAACAGCGGTCTTAAAAGTATTAAAGTTGATCCAATGGCTGTTTTACAAGAATATATCGAAAGCCATAACTTGAGAATTATTGATTTATTTAATCGATTCGATCGTGATAACAGCAGAACTGTGGATAAACGAGAGTTCTTGGATGGTATGAAGGTTTGTATTAGCGTTCTCAATTGGATTTCTATCTTTAACATTGCTCAGTAATAAGATATATATAGCCATAATTAATTATTCATCTCTTTGCAAACTTCCGTTTTGATAGACTTTGGATGTGCCACTGACTAAAGATCAATTGCTAGAGCTGGTTGATAGGCTAGATGCTGATGGTGATGGTCAAATTGCATACGGGTATACATTACTTTTATTGACCTTTTATTATACTAAAAAACTAATTGTAACTACTGGTTATATGCCAAAACTGTAGAGAGCTAGTATCATCATCTCGAGGCATATTGCTTGATAAACGAACGATTAAGAAGAAAAAGCTGGCTGCTGATAAAGAAATTGAAGAATTAGCCAAACAAGCTGATACAACGTCCTTAAGTCCAGTTATAAGATCTAATTCAACGTCAAGAAAATCGATTGTAGCTGCAATAGCTGAATTACAAGATAAAGGCCTATTAGCGCCTAATGCAAGTATAACTCATGGAGCTCACGGGGCTTCTTTGAGTCCTAGAAAATCGATAGCTAAATTGGAAGGCATAAACAAAAGCAAAGCTCTTGCCTCTCCACAACCCAGATCTATTTCAGTTGTATCAAATAAAAGTAATTATTCCAAATAACTTACAGTCCTTTAACCATAAAAATGAGCATATCCACATTCTGGATAGTCTCAGTGATCTGATAGTTGAATACAGTAATATATAGTAATTTCTACCATCTCTACAGACTTTATTTCGATCGATATCTATGCATTCAACAGAAAATAACTATGGCAGTATTTGATACCCTTTTTGCAGAGTCTCACTATGGGACTGAATGATTAATTTATTTATGCAAGTGTTTACATTTTCAGCCTCATTACTTTTACGATTAAAACTACTTCAAGGTCAATAAGAAAGCATCCATATTTTATAAAATGTATATACGTAAAGTTAGTACTCTTTTGATATGTAATCAATTATTTCATTTATTAAAAGTAATTTGTATACCGTTGATATCAATGCGCACATTTATTGAGGGTTTTATCAAGCAAATGGAATGTTATACTTGATAAAGGTAGCATTCAATCGTGACTTTATCCTGACTTAAAAATTGTATAATATATAAAGATATTTCTACTTGAATTTAATATGCATTCCGCTTCATCGAAAGGAAACGGTAAGGATGCGCTATTTAACACCCTTTTTTAAACTTAATTTACAACCAATACAATAAAAAAATGCAAGATAAAGCAATTTCGAAACAGTTTGTACTCGTGTCTTTAGCACTAGATACACATTCTTGTTAGCCACTGATAATGGGTGTCTAGTTAAATCAACAAGTCATAGACAATAGCTGCCGTAGTCATATATGCGTATATCAACATGACGAAACACTATCGGCATAAAGTATTTGTTGATGGTTAGTTATATTACAAACTAGATCCAGCACTGATCTTTACATTAGCCATAGCCAATACTTTGATGATTACTTATAATAGGATTGTTGCACTGCGAGGTAATTTCATAACCAATCGATTACTGCCACTTAATCCATGGTAAATATCCTTGAGGCAATATCGTCGATCAACCAGTCAACACCATCTAATAACTTTTCACCAGTAACTGCACTACACCATTGAATACTCCAGTGATGGGAATGAATTGTATCTAGTTCTAAAGCCTGATAGAAACAAAATCGATAGACTTAACTTGCTTACTCTCTGTATGAGTCAAGTGCAAGATCACATGATTGATATAGGCATTTCTAAGAGCTGAAGATGTTTCATTTGCATACCTTTCTAATTTCGTTGGATGATAAAGCTCCAGCTAAATCTTGTTTATTAGCAAAAACGAGCAAGGTTGCTCCAGCTAATCTCTAATGATACAATTGAATATGTTTGTATTATTCATCTAATATCGAGTTCAGTTTTGATTGTATGCAACTACTTGATCATATTGGCAATATACACAAGCGTCTTGCTATCTATCCATTCACATTACCTCTTCTCCTAATAGGGCATGTAATTCAGCTTTACAATCTTCAAGTCTTCTGACATCAGCACTATCAACTACCCATACTAATCCATCAGTGCTTTCAAAATAATTTCTCCAATAAGATCGAATGGATTTTTGTCCTCCAATATCCCATATATTAAGCTTAAAACTATGTAAAGTAAAAGTATACGAACAAATAGTAAGATACCAAGTGTAACATTATCTTTATACTTTACAAGATAGCATGACGAATACGTTTGGTAGAAAGTAATCATTTTAAAGAGCAAAGCTTAGTTAGGTCTTGTAACCTCACCATTGAGCTCTATTAGCTCATGATCAAGTCACGTTGGATTGATTAATATTATTGTTCACGTATTTAACGGATGTTCTTTACACTCTTGAGAACTAACTACGATTAGACTTACGAGCGATGTTCTAGAGTCTTAATATTGAAGCCAAGCGTTGGCGATATTGTATTGACATCCTCACCATTGAGCCGTTTCAAAATAGTTGTCTTGCCAGCATTATCTAAACCTCTAGGATTGAAATACATTTTGTTAAGGATTATCAAAACAACCGCAACCATCATCCTATTATTTCATTCTTTTATTGAATACGATGGAAACGACGTATACATAAATTGAAACAGTTAGGCACTTATTCTACTATAAGGTGAAATGTTTGGAGAAAAACTTGGACTGCAGCAATTGAATAGGTAGTCCATTATTGAAGTAACACCTACATTCAACTATAGTACTGTAGATGATACAGAACAGTGATACTCTGTTGCTTTCGATACTGCTATAGTGTTTGAAAGTATGCACTTTTGCAACTCAGCAGTGAAGTCCATTGGTTAATACTGTATATGTATATTAAGTATCAAGACAGACGTATGTTCAACCACTGTCGACGACAGAATTCCGTTCACCAATACTCAATGATGGTCATTTGAAATTATGGACTTTAGGCATTTAATGTAGTCCACTGTCGAAGGCCAGCGTGTGTGTAGACGCTGGTATTCTGCTCATTTCGTTAATCGATGACCGTGATTTGAAAATAATATAGACCAAAGCAATAGAATAGATAGTTCACTGTAGAATCTTCAGTAGCTACACGTATGTTCAATTACATTTATGGCAGTATTCTGTTTATTGCCATGCTGTATATGACAGTAATTTAAAAAAAAATAGACTATAGTAATAGAAGTAGTTGACTGTTCCATCTTCCATTGATACAAGTACTGTCTGTTCAACGCGAGTAGACAGCAGCATTCTGATCATTTCCACACTATAACAGTGATTTCAAAATGCCGACGATACTAACTTGATGGATCGTTTACTATGAAATCTTCGATGCATGTATGCTTAACTCCTGTTCAAGGTAGTTTTGTTCATTGCGATACTATGGCAGCGATTTGTAAATAGTAATAGTAGTGTCGATCTTAGTCATTGCATCCTCATTGATGGCGTAGTCCATTGCGCAAATAAGACGTATGTTTCATTGCATTTTACGATCGTATTCTGTTCATTTCGATACATTATGACAGGTATAAATCAAAGGATACAACATTAAGATTCGCATTTCCTTTTCCTTCTCCTTCATCTTTTTCAATATAGCAAGTAATCCCATGTTGATTTCGCAAGTCTATTTCTTATCCACTCGTCCGTAAAAGATGGAGTAGTTGACGAATGATAACCGTGGTGACGGAATGGGACTGACAGTTGACCTGCCGAGCTACTGGTACTGGACTGTACAGTGTACAGTACAGGGTTCGGGTTACAGTATACAGTACTGTACACTGTACACGACAGGTTTGCAGCGACGACCGTGGCCAACGTTTGGACTACTCTGTCTACTGTCGTAGCTAGTATCAGGTACAAATATGAAATGACTGCTGACTAGAAGCTGTATACAGCGTAGTATGAAACATTTTTGGAATAGTTTGGGTCCGCGGGCTTTGCCTATGGTTGCTAGATAGAAGAAAAGCAGTTGAATATTTAAGAAAAGCTGTTGAATATTTTGGGTCTGCGGGCTTTTGCCCAAGGTTGCTGGATAGAAAAAAGCTCGTTTATCCTCTTCATCGATGGGTAATGTAGTACTGTACTGAGAAAGTGGATGTTTTGCGACTATTTGCGACACCGGATAGTTCCTTCTACAGGATTCAACTAAACCTCTGCAAGCCTACAACTAACACGTCCATGACGTCATTGACAGAAATCTTGCTGGCCCGTTATTCTGCGGTCAGAGTCGTTGTTGTATTCAGTAGTCTAAGCCTGTACCTCAGGATCCGACATCAGACATGTTTACTGTACGAGAGAGAGTACGACATGATCCGGATACATTGAATATTCCAATTTTTGCATCCATTGGTACAAAATTGATCGGCAATGCATGGTTTGAATATGCCAAGGTTCATCAAGATTGGTCTTTCTGAAGCATTTTACCCATAATTTTGAGTTAGTTTTTACTATTCAAATATATCGAAGAAAACGGATGACATTCGGTAGTACAGTACATGCAATACTGTACACTGTACGGCATGTTTACTAATTCTTCAGATGTTTAGATAGCAAAGTATACTTATATATATATATACTTATATACTTATACACTTATATATATATATACTTATATACTTATATACTTATACTTATATACTTATATATACATATATACAAAGTAGACTTATATATATATATACTTATATACTTATATACATATATACAAAGTAGACTTATATATACATATATACTATACTGTACAGTATAGAAATTAGGGAAAATGAATGATATACCATTGCATATTTTTTATTTATTTATTTAATAATAGAAATTATTGCTGTACCGTACTGTGCTGTAAAAAAAAAGGGATTGGTCCCTGATAGTATAATATCAATTTTTCAACTGCTATTTTGGGGGCCAAATCAACTTAATTTAAAATTATGTAGAATTAGATTTCAGTTACTTCACTGTACTCAAAAAAAAATCCTAAAAGTGTATCAATCAATAAATAAAAATTTAAAATTCCTATAGTGAAATATTTTATCACTAATCATGTAGAATTGGGTTTCACTTACTTCACTGTACTCAAAAAAATCCTAAAAAGTGTATCCATAAATAAATAAAAATGTAACATTCCTATAGTGAAGTATTTTATCGCTAATCATGTAGAATTGGATTTCACTTACTTCACTGTAGTCAAAAAAATTCTAAAAGTATGTCAATCAATAAATAAAAATGTAAAATTCCTATAGTGAAATATTGTATCGCTAATTAAGCTTTACTGACTGTCAATGAAAATTTAAAAAATAAAACATTCGCGTGAGTATAGTATTTGGACCGAATAAAAAAATGGCGTCCGTAGTAAAAAAAAATCATTGGTCGAATTTAGAGCATGCTCTTGTTAATCGACAAAACTTGTAATCGCTAAATGACCCACTTTATAACCTGTTCAGTATCTCCACGTATCATACAAACTGGATAATAAAGCTCACAAATCTGCACTTTTTTCTGTGGATACTAAATAACAAGTGCTATATTTTTAAGTTTGAACAGCTTTTAGACTAAGATTTTGGAAGTTCAATTTTCTTCAATTGCACTTTCTGTGGCCAATACTGTCCGTACAGTAGAGTACTGTACACAATATTTGACCATAAAGATACGCATTCCATACCTTTACCAAGAGCTTTTATTATCATACTCGTGATAGGTTTACTACACTCTATAGTCGGGTTTCCACGCCTGCGCAGACCATAGATGGAAGACTGGGCAGATTGCTAGGGTTACTCCAGACTCCAGTATCACTTTGATGGCCTAACCAGCAACTTTCTCCTCCTCCATTCTCATGGATTTTTAAATCAATTCTAGCCAATTCTAGGTGCAACGAGTCGGAAAAGAGTAAGAGAAAATTGGCTATAACGTAGAGCAAAGATAAGATCGCCATCATGGCGTCCATTAAATGCAAGTTAAGCCGTGAATTTGCCGTTGGCAAGACTCGTTTATCAAGCCAAGGTTATACAGAATATCAAATTGAATATCAGGTAAAATCCACACACCATCAACTCGACAAACGAGAACTCGGATTTGTAATTTGATCAAATTGAGTAGCAGAATGGTGGTGATCATGATAGAGTACATAGTAACCTTTACTCACTCACCTTCATCATGAATGGATAATCGATACTGCAGATAGAATGCTATAGTAGCCCGTGCTTGACTTGCTGTCCTATCTCAATCAGCAATGGCAGTGCAGTGCTGACAAATGAATCGTGCACTAGCTGTGAATGCACCATTTGTCCATTGGCAATCAGGACATCAACAACTTAAGTACTTTCTCGTCCAACAACTCTCTCAGTCAATCAGTCAACCTAGGATCATGAATCCTATCTCTTGCATGACATAGTATATGAAATGACCTTGTTGATACTGATTATACGTACAATGATTGATAACGGAGAGGGTATGATCATCGATACATACTGTAGATCAGTCTTCACAAGTCTTATTACTACTAATGATTAATGATTACTAATATAGAATTGATTCTGTCGTGATTGCTATTACATTTAGTTACATTTATGCTTTTATACATGTATCCTCATTTCTTTCCTTGACGGTACTGTCGTAACATATATATACACAATGCAGTACAGTTTCTGTTGGATCTTTGACCACTTTTCGCTCATGAAAACTCTTCTATAGTAAAAGCTATGCATGATATACGTAGAAATAACAAGTAATTCATCAATCTAGAAAATCGTTTTTGCAACCTCCAATAATGATTAACTTGTCTTGTAAATATCATTTTATATCTAGGTTGAAAATCAGAGTGATGAAGGCCAACTTATGCAGGTAATAATTTTATACAATAATTAGAGCTATCAATAATTCGATTGACGTGTATGGTGATAAAGTAGTGGCCTACTTGAAATGAAAATACGGAATTAAAAATCAGTCATTTTTGCCTACGTAGACAAGACATATAGTGCTTGATAAATTCTTTGTATTAAAACAGTCAATAAACACTCCTTCATTCACCATACTGTAGCAGTACTGAGCAACAAATGAATGTCACATTAAAAAAATCATCTCTATACCTACATTGTAATGACGTGAAACTAAATTGAATAATTTTATCCTAAATGACCAACTCCATTATTTTCTATCGTAGAAGAGTAAATGGTGCCGATTTAGAGAGATTAAAAAGCTACATCGCGACTTACAAACTTTGTATACACAAATTGCCACCAAAGACTCCGGAAGCTTCCCTAAATTTCCTCGTGGCTCTTATTTTGGTAATACGACAACACAAAATGATACTAGCTTAATAACAATACTACACTATTGCCTCGGTTACAACAAGGTCTAACATATCTTACAAAATATTATCCAAATCAAATTAGTTAATCTCGAAGAATGGGATAATAACGGAAATTAAAAATTTAACAGAGTTTACAACAATAGCTTTCATATTAATCCTCAAGAATTTATTCATTGCAAAAATTAAGATTAAACAAAGTTTATACAGTAGTAATAATATCAACTTCTCGGTCTATTTTCTTCATAATAGGTCGTTTTGATGAAGAAACGATCAACAGTCGGCTTATAGCAATACGAAACCTTTTGTTATTTTGTAGCAAGATTGATTATCTATATGGAAGTGTACATTTTCAACAATTTTTTATGGTAAGATATCAATTGCACTCTGATGTACTAGTTATAGTAACTTTGTTAACCAATTCCTAATCCATAATTGAGCAAGTTTTTACAACATATTATGTAATATAGCTCCATAAAGGCGTTGTATACTGTTTTTAATAGTATAATCTATCACACGGTTAATATCACAGGAGGATTTTGATAATGAATATACACAAAGTCAAAATATTAGCCCTTCCAGTAGTAGTAGCGATGTTAAACCACTAAATGATGATTCTGATTATCAGGATGATCATTTAGATGGACATGGTAATAAAAGAGACAGCAAAATGTCGGATATATCCATAGCAAGTACTACTGATAATGATGGTGATGAAGGTCCGTTAGACACCTCTCAGCAACGTAATCCCCTAGGTGGTGTTTGGTTACATAAAAGAGATGATGACATAGAAAGCTCAGACGAAGAAAGCAATTCTATTCCCCATGAAAAGAAACTTACCGACGACTTGAATAGACTCACCATTGATGAAGATTTCTCGCTAATAGATGAAACCGCTATAAAGGTAACCGGTATCCACACCTTAGACCAGGAGAAAAATTTAATTGATTTTGGAGCCGACAATGATAAAAAACTTAGCGATTGCATTCAACCAGCGGACAACTCCGTAGATAGTAGTGATATCCAAGATGATGTGGATAAAGAAGCAGAAGATATATCTGTAAATGATTTAGTAAATGAATTATTAGCCATCGATGTACCGACTCATCTTAACCATTCCGAAAACTTACTACCAAGCGATATGAACACTATTAACGAAAGCCGAGAGAAGCCGATCGACAATGGCGTAGTTGATGAACATTCTGCACAATCAACCCTTTTATTCGATCCTTTGGAGATATCTAAGGCCACTGAAGACATCAGTAGTATCCCCAAGGATGATCCTTTTGCGTTATTTTATGATTTGAAGCGTGACAAAAAGCCTAACATAAGTGTTGATCCTGTCGATGAGGATGCAAAAGACCCCTTGCCTGAACCAAAAAGAGATACCTTACCAAACTCAGAGACTGTACTAAATTCAACAAATAATGGCCAAAGTGAAATCCAAACCGAAAGTCATTCACCAAGTCAATTGGAAGAATCAAGTAAAAAATTTGAGGAAGTAGACTATATATATGACGCAGCAAAATTTATTGTCCAGGCTGTGCGAGAAGAGTCCAATTGTAATTATAGTGAAAGTTTCACCTTATACAAAGAAGGTATAAGATCCTTACTAGCTGGAGTTCAGAGTAAGTATACAAATTTATGTCAATCTATATATTTTACCAGCGATAATTATTGCATTCGCTACATCGCTAAAAGTGCTCTAAAATCTGTACGTTTCATAAATCTTTAGCTGACAGTGACTCTAAACGTCGTGATGGTGTTAAGAGGAAAATTGAATTTTACATTTCTCATATTGAGAAAATGTACATTTCACAGTTAGCTGGTAGCGAAGGAAAAGATGTAAGTGTTATATTTTGAATTCAGAGTTTATTTTTTTATGAAACTGATTGCTTATTAATTAATGATAGTTGCATGGAAATCAAGAACTTCCATCATCCGTTCCTACTTGTATGAATTTAAGATTAGAGCTTAAAGATTTTAAAGTTATTGGTGTAATCAATAAGGTAAAGAAAATCTTTGTAGTGTCTTAATTCTATAACTATGTCTTTAAATACGTATTCATCGCAGTGAATAAGTCATTTATGCGTTAAACAGGTTCTCCTAGCGCAGCATTTTACTACCGAAGAAGTATTTGTAGTCAAGGTAAGATATAGCAGAAAAGCTGTTTCTTCTTATCAGCAATGAGTTGCTTTATTACTCTCTATGTAGAAATCATCTCACACTGCGTCTCAGAAGGACATGCATATGTTCATATTGCTTAGAATTCCTTTATCAGTGGACGTTTTACTTCACAACATTCAGCATACATATTCTATAGGATATCACCGCATAACTTGCTGCAAATCCTTTGCAGCTAAAGTCTCTCTTTTACGTACGATTACGTATACGTATATACAGTGTCCTGATCGTATTGTATAAATCAAGCTTTCAATATAACAGCAGGACACGGCTTTTTTTCTTTCACAGGTTCTCCACAAAGGTCCAAAAATTCATACTAAGAAGGGAAAAAAGCTACTGACACCAGTGGAGAGAGCGAGAATGAGATCTAATAGTATCATGAAATCGGTAATTGCTACCTACTTAGATTTTATTAACGATTCTTATTACGGCTATCTCGTAATGTGTATCAAAATAGAAATACTAATGAACATTGGTTAAAATTTTTATGTTTGAAATGCTACAGATGGGTTGTCCATTTATGGTAAAGTTATATCGCTGGTTTGAAACAGCTACTAGCTTATTTTTGCTAATTGAACACGTTCCAATGGGATGTCTATATAACTCAATCAGCAATTATTTACGTCTTGAAGAAGAAGAAAGTTTATGGCGTATTCGTCGGTCTAATAAGGATACTCATAATTTGATTGGTGCTAACCAATGTAAGTTGTATTCATAGGTTTTGACCAAATTTATGATAAAGATCTACCTAAGCCGTTGCAATTTTTAAAATAAATATTTTATAAAAGATACTCAAGAAAAGGATCAAGTTTTAGAAACAGTTCATGATGAAGGTCTACCTCAAACCTCAGAAATTGAAGATTCTGTAGCGGATGAATCAGAAGAAACAGAAGAGAGTGAAAGAACACGTTCATCGACCGCTACGCGTATATTTGCAATGTTAGACAATTTGGAAAGCAATCCCAGAAAGAAATTACCGGAATCCTATATTCAAATTTGGATATCCGAAATTATTTCAGCTCTCTCATATCTGCATTCAATTAATATAATTTGGAAGTAAGTAAACTAGCTCAATACTCATTATCACCTTTATCACAGTGATATTATCTCACCACATAATAAAGAACTCAGTTTGATGCTATATTTAAATATCTGTACGTCTTAGGGATTTTGGACCACAAAATATCTTGTTAGACGCGAATGGTAGGCATGATCATATACTTTATTATCAGGACTAGTGTTAAAATTAATATTTGTCGTATGATCTAACATGCTCGACATATCACTTAACACGGCCATTTAGGTCACGTTAAAATAACATTTTACGGAGAATGGGAAGAAGTCACTCAAACTATAGCTCCTGAGAATATTAAAAGATTATATTGTGCCCCTGGTACAAAATCTAGTAGATTTTTAACGATTACATACTCTGCTATGCAAATTTATCAAAAGACTGCTTAATATTTTAGAAATAGGTAGTATTACCCCTCCAACTCCTGCATCAGATTGGTGGAGTGTAGGTGCTATAATGTATGAAATGTTAACTGGCCGAGTAAGTCTTCTAATGAAGCTTAAAGTGATGTGATTTCGAGTCTACTATTTGCATATATGTTACATATGCCGAAAATACCATTGATTAATAGCCGACCCTTTATTGTTCATTTAGAGTTTGTACCATTCATTTCCACGTGGTCTACATACTCATACTGAGATACATCTGCCAGGTCATGTTTCTGCTGATGCTCAATCCTTGGTAAAAGAGGTGAATAGCGTGATATACTAATATGGTTATTAGAACGTACTGGCCTGTCTACTTAATTTCGAGAAATATCAATTAACTATTAATTACCTTACGTTATATCCTTCTGCCATTAGCTATTACAAATCAATCCACATCAAAGAATCGGTAAGTTGAATTTTGATTCAGAAAAAATTCAAGGATACGTTTTTTGAATCCTTGAAATTTTTGTGTGTCCGCTGAATTTGTCTATCTTTCATAATTGTAAGGTGGTGGACGTAATGGTGCAGAAGAATTGCGATCTCATTCATTTTTTAATGGCGTCACTTGGCAGTGACTAACAATGTGATGTTTGAGCATCCGATATTGTAAATAGTAATACTTTGCTTCAAAAAGAACCTATCGTTTTGGGTAAACAGACTTTTGTACATAGTTGCTTTTCTAAATTGGTTTATGTTTTACATGCATCTAATGTCTGACCCAGTGATACTTCCGAAAATTACGTGCATCGATGTATGTTATCAACCCTGTTGTAGAATTAAGAATTAATATTCAAGATGCTATAACAAAAGAATATGAAACTACATATTAATTTAAACTCTCGCATGAGTATCGG